GTGATAAACATGTGTAATTTTTTTCAAAATTAATAAGCATTGACGCCATGTTCTTTTCCCGTGTCCATGGCAACAAAATCACTACAGAAATTTTGTTTTTCCTACTGTTGGAGAATAAAGTAATTCCATCTTTCAACAAATAAAGTAACCAAAATACCTTATCTTATCATGTTTAGAAAACATATTCATAGAAAAATGTCTAAAAATCATTGATTTTCATAAGGATTTATGAGCCCGTTGCTACGGAAATGAATTTCCTTGGATACCAGTCCCTTCATATGTTCAAAAAAAATTTTTAATTGTGTTTTAGCATTAGGTAGGACAAAATCTTTTATATAGCAAAAGCTTTTGAAAAAATAAAATTTTGACTTTCCATTCAATGCTCGATGCTTGCTGATTTTGACTCTTAAGGTAGGTCCGTACTTTCAGAAATTTCTGTCAAACTGATAATTTTTCAATTTGAATACCTTGAATAAGTCTTAAACTTACTAAAACACCCATAAAAAACATATATTTGCAGGTTAATTTTCATACAACATGTCTCAGCGCACATACCTCTAAAAACTCAACAGCCAAATTTGAACATAAAGAAGTGTGATATCATATTGTATTCAGCTATGCACAAAATCACATTAAATTTATGTTAAAACTTATGAAAATCAAAATTATTCATTTGCCAAGAGAATACATATTTGAGATCTTTTTTTGGAAAATATTAACAAATTGGTGTTGAATCTGTCCATATCTTTCAGAAAAAAAATCTCAGATATCTTTATTTTTTATAATCCTCAAAATCCAAAATGTTAAGATGCCTTTTTTTCTTCAAAACTATTAAGAATTATATCTATTGTTAACAAAAACAGCTACTTTATGATGGTTGACCAGAGAATTTTCACAAAACAGTCTTTTGAAGACGTATACCCCCATTTTTAAATATCAATTTTTTCAATAATTCAATGCAAAATTTTTAAAAAGTAAAAATTAAATGGATGATATAGACTTAAAATCAATCAAAATAGATCTCAGGTTAGTTTGCTTGAAAGAAAATTAAAAAGATTTAGGTCCATAAAAGCAATTAAGAATTTTGTGTCTGTGTATATACTAAATGACATATAGATCTTATGGACAGAGTGCAAAGTGTTAATTTCCATAAATAATGTATATTAAATTCTTCATATGCACAAAACACTATAATAAACAAATATATACTTGCTAAATCATTTTCAATCACCCAAAAAGATTTACATATATATCAACAGAAAAGTAAAAATCAGAAGTTTATATTGATGTGTAAAATTAGAACCGGATCCGTAAAAGTGTGGGCCTTCCTTAAATTATAAATAAAATCGCTGTCATTTGAGTGTTTTAATGCAGGGAGAAAATACTTGTGATATTGGGATGAGATGGATGCGCTGGCGCGCCGAATACAATTAGCCATAATTCCAATTTGTCCTTATAATTCTCTGAAAGAAATTTTCACTGTATGTTGAATTCGCGGAATTTCTTTTTTCCGCGAATATAGCGAAAATTAACTCCACGAGTTAATTTCCTGCTTTACAGTAATATTTAGTCAGATAACTGAACAGATTAATCACTTTTCTATACAAGATCGTGGGTAACAAATATTATGAACTGAGCTAATATAAATTTATAGGTCCGAATTCACAGAAATATCTAAAGAACTATTTTTTTTTTTTTTTTTTGCAGAAAATCGAACTTTCTTACTTGGTTTTCTGTGAGGTTTGTTGTCGATGATGTAAATGTCGTTGTGTGGATGTAGACCTATACAGGATCTCACGATGTCAGGTCTCGCTCCATACTTGTATCTCCAGAGCCACGTCACGTGATTTACACTGTCCTGTGATCTTCCTCTGTAATGTACAGCCTCCCCTTCTCTTCTTAGTTCCGTTAGAAATTTTTCTCGTTCACCTTTACTCTTCTTGATTTTATTTTCTGGGATATTAACTGTAGAAAAAAATATACCGTTTATAATAAACAATTACATTTACACTGTAATACCATTATGAATATAATACATGTGTATAGGTAGAGATACATTCAAATTATAGATTTATAAAACACGATCAGTTACTTCTATTATAATGTATTAATCTAGTACCATTAAATTGTAATCGATGAAGCAACTACAAAGCAACTACAAAAAAAAAAAAAAAAGAAAGTGATTTATTATAAATGTATAAATGTTTCTACTGATAACTTTTTAACTCTTTGAAACGTAATCCAATTATTTAAAGAAAATTCTGAAAGAAAAAAAAATAGAACAATTTACAATTAATTTACCCTGACTTACATATCTGGTGTATCTCATTATATATCTCCGTGTCCTCCATGATGACGTGAGTCAGGATGTTCATCTGTAAACGGTGTATCAGTAAGGAATCCCAGCCAGGATTATTGACACACTTCTCTCCAGGTTCTCTGTTGTATCCCCGTGATCTCAGGTACACACTGGCTGTGTTATAACTACTGTAACAGAATGGTATAACACGGTCTACTGATGCTATCCTATACATTGTCTCGTCTTTTGTCTCCTCCGTTATCTTATCCTTATCTTCCCAGAGGAAATCACGTGACTTCAGTTTGTCCAGAGTCTGCTGTGCTTCCTCACGTGTTACAGGATTCTCTTTATCGTACACGTCCTGTCGTATCCCATTAAGCATGTCCAGCCACTCTGTGTCAGTGAAGTCAGGAGGACCGGAGTCAGAACACAGAAAACAGAATAACACGGGCACCTCGTCATCAATCAGTTCTGAGAACTTATCTAGAAATTATAACATGTTATTACTTGTACATGTAACTCTGGACACATTATATTATAATACATCTAGTACATCCAGGTGTGTTATTGTCGTTAAAATAATAAGATTATTGTTCACAATTCATAAAAATCCCTGTTAGATTTACATCTAAAGTTTTTTAAAACACATATAATTATTGCAATATGATTATAGTAGCTTCATTTATTTAGTAATTGTACAGACTAGTTAAAATAAAGGTGATCTCGTTCGAAAATTATATCACACAGTGTCTCCTGTTTTTATCCAACATACATGTACGACTATGTACACTGAACGAATGTGTACATATTGTACATTTTACGCGGCAAAATACCACACAGAAAAAATACAAGAAAGCAGTTTAATGACTGAGAAATTTCACCGCAGAACCCTTCCCCCCAACTCTCTCTCTCTCTCTCTCTTCTCTCTCTCTCTCTCTCTCTCTCACTTCAGGATTTGTTAAAGAATGTTTCAACATAAGCATTGTGCATTGGCCCCTTTTTTGGACCCCTCTAACGTTATCTTATCAATTAAAATCTTAATAATTTTACAGCTTACCGATATTTTGTTATCAGTATGGTACATTCCTTGCAAAAATGCTCATTGAAAACGGCGCTTTAGTTATATTTCAGGTTTTTCTTTCAAGTAATTAAAAGAAGCCCTCTAGTGGATGTTAATTCCAGAATGTTGCGCTTGTCCGAGTTGGGTTTTAATTGTGTCACATTAATATTCGAAGTAGACGGGGCGTTTTATCGATCGATTGAAAACATGTCTAAAAGCCAGTAATAATGACTACAAAATATACAGACAAGTTGCTGTCCTTTATAAAAGGACTACAATACGTGAACCATATGCATGTGTTTCTTACCAAATTCAATTCAATATTCATGTAGGTTATTTCCCACTTTCTATTATGATTTGCCTACTATGGCTTATACATGTAGTACTTTAATAACGAATTTGTTATTGTCATCTCCCTCAGGAGATGACACATTAAGATTGTATGCCGGAAGTGAAGTCCTAGTGTAAGCCTCCATTAATCTTTCGGGAGTCCTCGATGTTTTACAGAGTTCCAAGTAGCTTGTAAACTGGTTTTCTTTAAGAAGAACTAGCTTAGGAGTGTGTGATCTACTTTCGGTTTAGGCCTATTTGAAAGCCAAGGAAAATTTAAAAAGAAGTACGATGCTTATAAATATCTATAGTTTCAGTGTGTAGTATATATATTGATCCTCAATACTATGCCTTATTAAAGCTATCGTGCAAAGTCTTAAACCTATTATACACATCGAGCAAAGCGGTGTCCGCCATATTTCTCTACTCTGCGATAGTTACAATTCCAAATATATGTGATCAATCGCGGTCACGGGCTATTGCACACGCTTCCAGAAGGCCTAGCGTGTACACTAACCCCCCCCCCCCAATTAAGTCAAACTTGTACTGTCTGTCGCTAAATTTTAGAAAATAAATACTTTATGATGAGAGGAAATAATTGCAAAAAAATATTTTTCACAAAATACGTAGAAAAAAGTAAAATATTAGTCATGACATATGAAAGTAAAAGATTTCCGCTAAAACCTATGCAAAAGCTTTTTACATTGCTTACCAGACGCCGACAGTACAAGCTTGATCAGTTGAACGATAAGTCAAACAAAAATTATAAAAGTTTAGCAATATTTATCCAAATATTTGCCTTTCGCATTCTCCATTAGTGCACACACCATGTCCCGGTAAACAAAACTGATCAGTCAAACCGGACCGTCCAGTTTTCTATAAATAGGATCTACTCACACTTCGGTGTTTTCTAGGGACCTGTTATTATTTTATCCTGCGTTTTTGAATGTTATACAATCTTCAAAAAATCTCTGCAAACTGGTGGTCTTTTACGACACAACCCAAATAATTGTACACACTGTAGACGAAAATACACGTTAGGGTAACAAAAGAGTTTTTTAAAACTAAAAAACTATAAATTGATTAAAAAGAACACACACCAAATGCTAAAGAAAAAAAGGAATCTGCTTAGGAAATTTTATATTTATTCTATGATTTGAACAGCAAATCAATTATTTGCCTACACTGGTTATAAAGTAAATCAAATTCCTTATCGCAAATCTCGATTGAAAGTATTCGCTTCGACTTTATTACCATTGCGTTGGATGACGAAACTGATGAATCTGACTGAAATACAATTGCGAAATCCAACAAAGAATCTGATTGGCGCTTTTCTATAGACCCGCCCACTTTCTCATGGAAACAGCTGTAAACAAGTGGTAGCTTCTCCTTACTGAGCGAAGTATATAGTGGACCTTTGTAATGCCTTATTAAATCATTGTGGGTGTTGGTAACCTATATAATGATCTTCAAATTAATAAAATCCGACCCAGGACTAGAAGTTGACTTTTAAAAATTATACACGTCACCCGGGGCATATTTTTGCGATTGAAAAACAGGGCCGTTTTAATTCCGTTTTTTTCTTCAGTACATCAATAAAATTAAACGTTCTTAAATTTGGTGTATCAGTGATTTTAATCATTTTATAGTGAACATATGAATAATATTCGCCATTACATTAAAAAGTGCACTGCATGAAAAAAAAAACACACACACAAGGATTTAGACTTTTTTCTGATCGCATGTTTTAATATTGCCATGACGACCTATAAAATAACAGTAGCACACACACATTTGAAACATGGTATTTTTGACAGTAGTAAACTTTTGAATAAATCCGATGTTTTACCACATATAAATATAAATATTTTTTCATCAGTTCAGGTGCTCATGTATTAGCTGGGTATGCTTTTTACGTAAGTACGCGGTGCAACACCGAAAATGGAGAATGCCGTGAATAGAAAATCGGTAGAATTACATGTACAATAAAATGAAATTAGGTGTGTCATCGAACGCTATAAACATGTACCGTCTGTGAAAGGAATACATCACATGCTAAAAAGTGATTTTGTAGTTTGTTTGTTTGTGTATTTTGTTTAAAAAGTCACCAGTATGATAGGTTTTCGACAATCACAAGGCCGTTGGACGCTTTCCAACTTAAATAGGTAAAGGATACTGCACGAGAGTGGGCGAGTCGTAATCAACCAATTAAATCGCTTGTTTTATAGAATGAAACCCGTGATTCAAATTGTTCAATTGTCAAATCCAATAGTGTCAATACTCAAGGCAACGCTATTTAAACCGCAGTGTAATACTTTCGAGCGAGATTTGCGATAATATCAGGAAGAGAAGGTGGGAATTTACTGAAGAAACACATATATACAAATATTTTGATATATACTATCAGTGATTTATTTCTGTAATTACATTTTTCCTGCGAACAACTTCCATTCTACATCGGTACGGAAAATAACATTTTAAGACCTACATCACTGGAAACAAAAAAATGCTTTGGTTTCTCAAATTCTTGCATTGATAAATAAAACAAATATCGAAATGATAAGAGATCCCCCCTCCTTTTCTCTCTCTCAGTTTTACCCCTATTTATGAGAAGTTCGCTGGTCTAAAGCAGTAAAAGGGGAATACCAGGCCAAAGACCTACAGTGCTAAACATTGAAAAAAATAAGTGTATATTTATTGTGCACAAAAAAGTGGTTTGCTTTTTTTTGTTTTTTTTTTTCACCATATGTATCAAAATATTAACTAACCTTGAGTTTCTTACATTTTCTAAATTTTACACCATTCACAACAGAACTGCATGTGCAAGACATGCATCAAACTAATATGACAGTATACAGGGGCGGATCCAACCATTTTTGAAAGGGGGGTTCCAGGGTTGTGCCCCTCTACCCCCCCCCCCCTTTCCCACTCTCAAGGAAGATTCACACACACACGTTTGGAAAGATTCAAGGTTGTGGTAATAATAACTTTGTTTTACGTCCCTTTTTTCTTTGAAAAGATACTGTACCCCTAGTCTGCATAAAAAAACAAACTCATTTTAAAAACTACCGATTCCTTAAAATTGAATGGATTTGCAGCATTAGAAATAAGTAGAATATTTTCTACCATTCTCTCATTAAAAAAAATCGTGAAGGTGAATGTAGGAAACTAAATTGAGAATCTATCTATTCAATACATACATGTAAAGTTAGACTACAAATATTTATTCTCGGAAAACGCTCTCTCTCTCTCTCTCTCCACTTGGCAAAAAATAAAGGGAAACCCACTTTGGAGCAGCCAATGAGTATATATACATGTATTACCCTATTTTCGATGGACTCAATATATCAGACCCAGAGGGGCTATAAATAACATTTTGGGGAATTTGTTAGTGTAGGCGTAGTAAATGTGCTAGGAGAACACGGTTAGGAAATTGTTTAGGGGGTAGCATAATCTATATAACGGAGAAATACTGATAAATGGGAAAAGTGCGCTTTTTGTGCACATAAGCTTCCTGGACGGACATCCTTATTTTTTCCAGCTGCATTCCAGCGAGCTACAGATCTGTAGCTAATATATAAGATGTTTGGTTACATAGCATAATCGGATAAAGCAAAGAGTCAGACAACTTGAAAGCTAGAATAATTATTGCAAAAAAAAGAGGCACAAATTATGTTCATCATGAAAAGTTGTTCGGACAAGTTTTTTTTTACATGTGCAAGAGAACCATTTGCGGTAAATAGCAAAGATCAGTTCTTCTAAATACATGCATAAATCTCGCTAGGAAATTAAACGTTTTTTATGTACAGGGGGGGGGGGGAGTGAATTGAAAAGTTTCTGTGAAAATGTACACAATGACAAATATAATCTAATTCTAAATTCTACACCTGTTTTTCTTTCTGACCGGTGTAAAGACGAATAATGACCCCCATCGAATAATGACCGGGGGTCATTTTTCGACAGCGAAAAATGACCCCCGGTCATTATTCGACGTAGAAAAATGACCCTTTTGCCCGTAGAAAAAGTGTCACTTCCCTAAAAATTTGCAGAACCCACGTGAAGAAAAATGACCCCTGTAGATTTAAGCTAAAATTTTTAGGGGGCAAAAAAAAAAAAATAGATAAAGAAACATATTGGCCAAAATGCTCACCTGAGCTTATTGGGGAAAAAACTGATGATATGTTGATCTCATAACATTATACAATTATGGCCATATTTTAAGGTAAATGCAATGATTCAGAATCTAAAGGAGTAAAAGATTTATCAAGCCTTAAGGGTTGGGTAAACATTGTTTTTTGATGGTGGAAATCATCGAACTGACAGAAAAAATCAGCAGTGTTATATATTATTATATACTCCGCTTGAAAAGCGGGAGGGTATATAGTGATCGGGATGTCCGTCCGTCCGTCTGTTACGCTTTGAGGTATCCATCTCTTATCCGCAAATCCTCATATACAAAAAGATGTGTTTGTGAAACAGCTATGCCCCTGTATGGCAACATAGCGAAGATTAAACTTTTCTTAAATGCAATTTAAATATATTGTTACCCAAAGTAGGGTCTTCTCACAAGAAATACAACTGCAAAATAGGAAAGCCCCAGCACCACTTGTTCAAAAGAAATGGCTAAGGATAAGTTTTTGAAAGGTAGGTCAAACTCAAAGGTCAAAGTTGGTGATTTCTTAAGAAAATGTTTAATGGAACAAGAATTACATATGTGAAGTATGAATACCCTAGCCCTTACCGTTCAAAAGTTATGGCCATGGTAAAAAAAAATCATAAGTACGAAAAACTCCAAGGTCAATGTCAAAAGGTCAAGGTTTTTAGTATCCAATGAAAGGTAATGCCAAAAAAACTACATATTTGAAGCATGAGAGTACTAGTATCTACCGTTTAAAAGTTATGTCCAAAGTAAAAATTTGGCATTTTTGTGTAAAATGGGACAAACTCCAAGGTAAAGGTCAAAAGGTCAAATTTAGTTATACCCAAAGTAAGGTCTTGTCACAAGGAATATACATATTAAATATGAAAGTCATAGCTCCAATAAATGAAAAGTTATGGTAAAGGTTAAGGTTTTTGCGGACAAACAAACCGCCAGATAGACAGACGGACATACAGACGAACACGATAAAACTATATACCCCCGAATCTTCTGATTACGGGGACATAAAAGAAATAGTCTTTAATTAACTTTTCATATTAATATACATTATAAAGAAGACGTTACAACAATGAAAATGTTTGTTCTGATTTTCATATTAAATTCTCTGAAAAATATACTCAGAACTGAGTAAAAGGGTGGAGTAAAACAAGAATTAAGGTAAAACCTATGTCGGAAAAGTCTTTGTCACAAGATTTTCAAATTTTCAAAATGATAAATTAGTACTTGCTTATCAATCAGTTAAGATATCATGATATGTTTCCTTGTTTTTTAAATCTAGAACAGGCTGTGAAACTTGGTATGGTATTTACATACTGCGATTTCACATTTTCAATTTTTTTAGGGGTACTTGTCATAAAGGGAATATGAAAAATCACAAAAATACTTCTTCAAACATCGTCGTTTATAAACTTTTTTAACTGAATAATATTAAACAATATTTTATCGAGAATAATTTCTTTTTCATTCAATTAACATAAAAGATAAGTCCACCATTTAAAAAAAATAGTCAAATGAACTCTATTATTTTTAGTCAATTATGCACCCTATATTTGTGAATATTTTTTAGAAGTCTTTGTCACAATGGTTTCAATCTTCAATATGATGAAGAACATAGCCAAATGATAACAAAAATGGTTAAAATATATACCTTTCTCCTCTAACTAATGAAAG